GTTAGGGTTTAGGGTTTAAGGGCTACGGTTTACAGTTTAGGGGTTAAGTTGAGTGTTGAAGGGTTTGGCGTTTAGGGTTTATAAATTAGGGTTTAGGGTTTAGGAATTAGGGTTTAGGGTTTAGGGTTTAGGAATTAGGGTTTAGGGTTTAGGGTTTAGGGTTTACGGCTTGTGTGAGCTTGAAGGCGTAAGTGCCCATAATAAGAGGTTTCCTTATCGTAAACCCTCGGCGGCTTCTTTGGGGGGCTGGGGGGCCCCCAGCCTGTGCATTGAGGCCCTTCATTCTCACACAAACCCTAAACCCTAAACCCTAAACCCTAAACCCTAGACCCTGAAATTCTTGTAGAGAGAAACCCGTACAGCTCGAGTATAACTGAGGGAGAGAGAGGAGACAGGAGACAGAAGAGAAAACAATTCTGTCTCCTTTTTATTATAAACAAACAAACCCTATATAAATACAATAAAAACACTCGTCAACAGGGGGGGGGGCCCCCTCGCTGGGGGCCCCTACTCGCTGGGGGCCCCTCTTCTTTGGGGGCCCCTCCTCTAGGGGGGCCCCCCTCTCCCTAGGGTTTACTGTGAAGACAGGGGGGCCCCCGGGGCCCACAGATAGCTGCGGTGTCTCCTCAGCAGCAGGAGACAGTTGAAACGCATGCAGCAGCAGCGGAGACCCTGGGCCCTCTTAGGGAGAAAAGGAGACAGCAGCAAGAAGAAAAAGAGACAAAAAATATAAATTTTAATAAACAATAAATAATATTATTTCCTCAGGTGCTGCGTAGAAACAAAAGCAGCAGCAACTGCAGCAACGCATGCACACGGGGGCCCCAGCAGCAGCAGGGGGGCCCCCCTACAAACCCTCTCTGGGGGCCCCCCAGCACACACTCTTTGGGGGCCCCCAACCCTCATATCCCCCTTTTAAACCCTTTTTGCCTCGCTGGGGTTTTCTGCTGCTGCTGCTGCTGCTGCTGCTGCTGCTTTGCTGCAGCAGAAGGAGACAGCAACTCAACAGAGCTGCGGAGACACCCGGAGACAGAAAGAGAGACAGAGAAAGAAAAAAAAAAAAATAAAAAAGAGACAAAAACCAACTGTCTCCTTTTATATATCTTTCCCTCCTCTTAACTTCAACCAGAGACAAAGAAAAACAACTAAACCCTAAACCTTAAACCCTAAACCCTAAACCCTAAACCCTAAACCCTAAACCCTAGATCATAAACCATAAACTCTTTCCTGCTGCCACTCTCCCTGGTGTTTATGCTCGAGGCATAAGGCTTAAGGGTTTAGGGTTTAGGGTTTAGGGTTTCTGTGTACCCTACAAAGCAACTAAAGGGGCCCTCAAGGGGGGCCCCCTCCCCCTCTGGGGGCCCCCTAATACCCATGGGGCCCCCACCACAGCTACTGCAGCAGCAGCAGCAGCAGCAGCTCTCTCCCCGTGTCAGTGGAGGGAACAGGGTACTCTCCTGGGGGCCCCCGTATATATCTGGGGGCCCCCTGACCAGCACCGATGCCGCACGCAAGTTGAGGGGCCCCCAAGGCCGCACAGCATGGGGGCCCCTGGGGGGCCCCCCGAGCCCCAGGGGGCCCCTGAGGGGCCCCCTGAGGGGGCCCCTGGGGGGCCCCCCTGTGTCTCTCCTGTGGGCCCTTGTCTTTGCTGTCTGTCTCCTCACGGGGCTTTCCGAGGCCTCAGTGCTGCAGACAGCGCAGACACCCGCAAGGGCCCTTCATGCTATCCCCCAGCAGCAGCAGCAGCAGCAGCAGCAGCAGCAACACCAGCAGCAGCAGCAACATTGGACGACAGTGCAGCACCATAGGGGGGCCCCCCTTGACTACGCCGGAGGGGGCCCCCGGCTTGCATGCAGCTGGGAGGGGGCCCCCCATGGCTGTTTTATGTTTAGGGGGGGCCCCCTATTGCTGAGGGGCCCCTCCACAGCTACAAGGGGCCCCCAGAGGTCTCCATGGGGCCTACCCTTGCAGCAGGGGGCCCCTTACGATGTAGACGGGGCCCCCTCATCCCCAGCAGCAGCAGCAGCAGCAGCAGGTGCGCGTAGAAAAGCAGCAACAGCAGCAGCAGCAGCAGCAGCTGCGGGAGAAGGAGCGGACGTGAATGAGTCACCATCATCAGCAGCAGCAGCAGCAGAAGCAGCAGCAAAAGCAGCAGCAGCAGAAGCAGCAGCAGCAGAGGAAGAGGAAGTAGCAGCAAGCCTAGCGCGTGCTGCTTCTGCGTCAGCTGTAGCAGATGCTGTGTATAGTGAGCGTGTTGCAGCAGCAGCAGCAGCAGCAACAGCAGCAGCAGCAAGAGCAGCAGCAGCAGCAACTCGCCCTTTCCCCCATATACAGACAGACCTACCCGGGGACACCTTCTTAGAGAGGAAGTACCCTTCCTTTGAGGACGTACCAGCAGCAGCAGCAGCAGCAGCAGCAGCAGCAGGAGCAGCAGCAGCACCAGTATCAACAGCAGCAGCAGCAGCAGCAGCAAAACTGCCGCCTAGAGGCCTAGGTCATCTCCCTCAGACAGTAGCAGTTGACACAGCAGCAGCAGCAGCAGCAGGAGCAGCAGCAGCAGGACCAGCAGCAGGAGGAGAATTGGGGGGCCCCCATGCGGGTGTGGGGGCCCTGGGTAAGGGGGCCCCCCTGAGAGATATTCTAGGAGCAGATGCAGCAGCAGTAGCAGCAGCAGCAGCAGAAGAGAAAAAGTTTGTTGAGGCTCGGTGGCTGCAGCGGCTGGCGGAGACACATAAAATAGCAGATAAACAAATAGAGACACAGAGACAGCAACAAGCACACAAACTTAAACATATGAAACAGCCGCCTTGTAGGATTTATATATATATATATATATATATATATATATATAT